GAAGAAAACAAGATTTGACTTTGTCATGTTTAGCATGTCCCAATGTTAGCTTGATGTTTGAAAGGGATTCTTTATGTCTTAAAGGGACAGTTCACTGAAGAAAATACTTCTATTGTCATTTACTCATCCTGCTTAAGATTCTTTCTTCCGTTAGGCATAAAAGAAGATATTTTAAAGAATGTTGAAAACCTTAAGCCATTGACATTAATTATTTTTTTCTACTGTGGAACTCACTAGTTTCTGATTGCCAACGTTCTCCAATATATCTAACTTTGTGGTCAAAAGAAAAAAAAGATACTCATAAAGTTTTGAAACCACTTGAGGGAGAGTAAATAGTGAGCATATTTTCAGTTTTTGGTTGAAATGTGTGTAGTTTATCTAAAACTGATAATTCTGTCTTCATTTCACTTCAATTGTCACAAACTGGTTTGATTTTTCTTGTTTCTATATTGAACACAAAATAGGTTATTCTGAAGAAAACTTCGAAACTGGCAACCACTACTGGTTCTTCTACTATGTAAGTCAGTGGTTACTGGTTTTCAGTTTTGTTTTGACAGCAAGTAAATAGTGAGTCAAGTTTAATTTGGGGGCAAGCAATCACTTTAAGCTATTTAAATAGGGTGATTACAAATATATAGTGTTTCAAGAGTTCACACTTAGCTGATGATTAATTATAATGCTTGTTTGGCATGCTGTCCCGGGAGAGAGCCCTGAGCTCATGAGATCCTCGAGCCCAGGGCTCCCTCCCGTTGCAAAGCGGGAGGGGAGTTTGAGCTCAGGTAGATCTCGAGAACTCCCCTTCTGTAGCATGTGAATGCTCTTGAAACTAATTACTAACTAGGAGCGTGTCTATGTTGACAATTTGGATTGTTCAATTGACTTAATTGCATGTTTTTAGGCGGTGGAAGGAAACCGGGGAACCCGGGGGAAACCCACGTGAGCACGGGGAGAAGTGCAAAACTCTGCACAGAAATGTCTGCTAGTTTTGGTAAAGCCAGGAACCAGAGACATTCTTGCTGTGAGGCGACAGTGCTAGGCACTGGGCCACCGTGTCACCCGTCTAAGAAGGAGGCGTAGGGGAGGAAGGGGGGACTCTTCAAAACGAAGATAGCAATGGAATAAACCCCAGGGTATTTATAGTAGTTTTAGGAGTCATCTGATTGGATCGTAGTGAATTGGATAATGCGGGTCAGCTGCTAGCAATCATAAGCACGTGATCCTCTCGAAATTTGTTTATACATAAAATTCACTTCTTGTCATATTGGAATACAATCTTTTGTAAAAAAATATATATATATATATTATTAAACAGTGAGTTACTTACAGTGGAAGTCAAGTGAGTTACCCTCCTGTTTTTGTTTTTAAAATATTTTGTTTTAAAATAAGTGATGTTTATCAGACAGATGGAGATCCTTACTGTATTTCCTATAAAAAAATTTTCCTGGAGAAAGTTTTATTTCTTTTAGCTTGTCCGGAATAAAAGCAGTTAATTTTTTTTTTTACATCAACAATTTAACATAGCAATTTTAACATCAATATTATTAACCTTAAGATTTTTTTCCAGATTGTCTACAGAACAAACCACTGTTGTCCAATAACTTGCCAAAAAGATATATGTACACAGACTTTTAATTTCAGCCAGCCTCAGTGATTCCGGTGAACTGTCTCTCCATTATAAAATTGCCACGTTTAGGGTCTGATTTCTTTAAGAATCTGTGATCTTCACTGCCTGATATATACAAAATAATGTGGGTCTCAGACCGGACAAGAAGCACTGCATTAAGTTCCATTTCTCCCACCATGGCTTTAAAATATGACAGTTTATTTTACCGCAGTATTTTCAATGGAGTTCATCCATTTGACGGCTGATCCTGATCCTATTTAATTGAAGGTATTGTAATTATATTTAAACATCGATCATGTAAAAGGAACCTTATAAAATTTAAAATAGTCACATTAAGCTTTCATCAGAAGTTTATTGTGGGCTGAAAAAGACCAGCTGTGCATATAGACCATTGCCCTAACTTTTCTAACATCATAAACTGTATATGCTGGATTCCATGCAATGCCTTCATGTTGTCCCAACACAAATTGATTTAGTTATTTATTCATTCATTTTCTTTTCGGCTTGGTCCCTTTATTAATCCAGGGTTGCCACAGCGTAATGAACAGCCAACTAATCCAGCATATGTTTTACGCAGCTGATGCCCTTCCAGCTGCAACCCAGTATTGGGAAACATCTATACACACTCATTCACACACATACACTATACAGCCAACTTAAACTCCACACAGAAATGCCAACGTACCTAGCCGGGGCTCGTACCAGCAACCTTTTTGCTTCTACCCACTGCGCCACCATGCTGCCCTCTAGATAAACTTAATTGTTTTTATGAATTTAAGTGGTTTGAACACAAAACAATTACACTGTACAAAAAAATCTTAAAAATTGTGTTGTTTCAACTGATACAAATAAGTAGTTTGGACAAACAGCAAAAGTCATTTTTAAGCATAATAAACAAGTCTTTAAGTTGCACTTTAATAACTAGTAAAATATTCCTCATGGCAAAGACAAAATAATTTAGTTATTAAAACTATTATGTTTTAAAAATGCGTTGAAAACCGCCTCTCTCCATTAAACAACATTTGGGAAATATATGTTTTAAGAATTAAAATTTCACAGATAGGGGCTAATCATTTTGACTGTGCTTTTATTTTAGTTGTGGAGATGTTTAACAGTGTGACTGATTTTCCCAGCTCGCTTAAATAATGAAACAATCCATAGAGACTGGGTAAAATTACATTTAATGGCTCTGAGAAGCCTTGACTAATAGGATTTGTGACTTCTGGGGGAAGAACACTAAGAGGTGGCTAAGGTCAGCATGGGTGCGAGTTGAGCAGTGGGGGGGAAAGGACTTTTTGGGAAATAGTCATGATGACACTCTCAGCTAAAATATTTAAAGCATTTCATTTATTTCTTCATTCATGCGGGAATTTATTTGCATCGACAGGTGCACTGAGAAAGTGCTTGAGTCTGGCACAACAGTTCCATCTGCTGGTGAATTGATTATTGACATTGACAGGCTCACTGGGCATGAGGTGCCCAAACATTTTTTATGAAGGGCCAAAAACCAAACTTGATTGAGGGTGATGGGCCGAAGGTAAATATACTGAACTGTATTACATTAAAGTTGCCATGATAATTTCCTAATTTAATAATATTTTAAAAAATAAAATAAATAGAAAAAACTCACAATAGGCTACTTATGTTAATAATTACAATGTACTTCTTACTATAAAAGCTTAAACAATTCCATTTATAATGAATGAAGTTCAACACTGTATAATCTAGTCAAGCTGCACCTGCCTTTGCTTTGACTTTGCATTGAATTGTATTAATTCACAAATTTCTTTTCAATTAGTTTGTGTGTGTGTGTGTGTGTGTGTGTGTGTGTGTGTGTGTGTGTAGCTCAACAGTTAAACATGTTAAATTAGTAATGACAATCTCTGTTGTAGCATTCGCCCCAACTAATAAAAATAGGAAATATTTTTGGCCTGTTTATATCTATAAAACCATAATTGCTACCACTACCTCCAACCTACCAAAACACTAAAGAAATGTATATAAATAATACTAATAATGATGATGACTATTGTTATAATAATAAATGACAAAAACACATTTAAATTTTAAATGACGTTAATGGTTAGATGAAAAATCATTTATATCATAAATGATAAATTATTATCTGTAATTTAAATGTTTTTGGTGTCATGGTGGCCCAGTAGCACGAATGCCTCAAAGCAAGAAGGTCACTGGTTCGAGCCTCAGCTGAGTCCGTTGGCATTTCTGTGTGGAGTTTGCATGCTCTCCAGTTTCCCCTCAAAGTACATGCACTAAAGGTGAATTGGGTAAGCTAAATTGTCGTGTGTGTGATTGAGTGTGTGTGGTTGTTTTCTAATGATGGGTTGCAGCTGGAAGGGCATCCGCTATGTAAAACATATACTGGGAAAGCTGGCGGTTCATTCCGCTGTGGCGACCCCTTATTAATAAAGGGACTAAGCCGAAAAGAAAATGAATGAATGAATGAATGAATGAATGAATGAATGAATGAATGAATGAATGAATGAATGAATGAATGAATTCAAGTGTTAAGAAGAAATAGCATTCTCAGACGGGTTTTGGCGCCACCCGGAGGTTAAAAGTAAATAGTGAAACTGTTTTGAAAGGATAAAATGACTGAAAAAAAGCACTTGGCAATATAGAATTTAGTCTTATCTATACCTGTCTCACTCTGAAATACTGGATTTTAACAAGTCAGGCGTGGTTCAAATACAAAACACTACCGACAAAATCATTTTTGATTTTTTTCAGACTAGTAAAAAAATATATAAAACACATTTTAATGAACTCTTTTTGTGGCTAAAGATTTAATGTTTTTTACCCCACAGAGTCTCTTTAAATATATATCACAGACTAGTGGAAATATATAAAACACATTTTGTTTATTTTAATAAACTCTATTTGTGGCTAAAGATTTTATATGTTTTTCTCCACAGAGTCTCTTCAAATAAGTCACATGGTTTGTGTAACTTAAAACTCCTAAAACCTTATATTTACATCTAAATTTTAAATCTGCGAGAGTTTTAAACCAAGTATTATCTGGATATTATTTTATATTAGACAATGCATCATGTCAGTTAACACCATTATTATTATTTTTATTCAAAACAAACAACTTTCTTCTTGGATTAACCAACTAGGGAAGTAGAATATGTTTTTCCAGACTCCTCACCTGTTGTGATGACTGAATTAATCTAAGAACAACAGCTGCGCCATATGGTATATTAAGTTACCGTGCTGCATTTTTGGAACGATTGACATGTTTGTAATTCTTTCCTTATTGCTCAGCAGCCATTCATTCACGAATAACGAATAACACCAGGCAGCAAGAAACTATAGAATGACTTTTATTTTGAAACGCCTACTTCCGGTGGGTGTTATGAGTAGGAAAACACAGCCAGTGTTTCTGTTTTCACGCTGCTTGTATGACTGCGCGGGTCGCTCGTCTGTTCGTGCCTCGGCGGGGTGTGTGAAGCCCAGGAGCGGTTCTCGAGCTCGCCGGCTCCCCTTTCAGACCATCGGCCTCTCGAGGTTTCTTTGTGCTGCCCCAGTGATCCTCTGGCGGACTCGGAGGACATGGCGGAGACCGACGGAGCCGCCGCCTTCACGGAGCTGCGCGACCCGGACTGGGATGAGTCGCAGCTTCGACAGTATACTTTTCCAACCCGACAAATACCGCGACTGTCCCATACGGATCCGCGTGCCGAGGTGCTCATCAATAACGAGGTAAGCTAGCATATTTATCCTGCATTATTAACGCTGCAAGAGTGAGCGACCGACGGAGGAGAGGAGAACAGCAGACGTCTGTTTGTGGGTGCAAGGTGCATTAAAATTAAAGAATGATTTACCCAAACTCAAGCAGCAGGACAGTATTAAACGCTTTGTTTGGATACAAAATGCTGTAATTAATGCCAAAACTATTTGATGAGTTTGGTCATTACGTCAGATAAAAATAAGCCAACTAATATAGTTTGAGTTTTGTTTATTCCATAGCAGTTATGGTTTTGTAACTGTCAAGATAAAATAAAAAACAACAATTTAGAATTATTACAAATGAGATTTGATTGTTGCATATCAATTCTACATGAAGTTTAACGTTACTGTACATTATTGCTATAATGAGGTAACTTAGCCTATCCTACATGAAAATAAGATTTATAACATTACTTAAAACGTTTCTTACTATTTAAAAGCTGTATATTAATAAATAAATCTTACAGTTATGGCCACTTTAAAGTTATTCCCGTGTCTTAATGATGGGTTATAAAATATATACAATTGTTTAAAATATTCAGTAACTAGAAAAAGTTTAACATGGCTTAGTGAGGTGTTCATGCACGAAACAGAAAGGAAAAGTGTGAGTAAAGTAGAAAGAATTTATTATTTTCAAATAATTGCTGTCTTTTCTAGAAGCCACTGAGCCACGGTTGACAGCAGGTTATATGAGATCAGTCGAAGCACGTTGTTCATGTTGTGTTGACGCTTTGTGTAAACAATGGCAGTTTGTTATTTTAGTTCGCAGTGTTATTGTAATAAATGGAATATCTATCTATCTATCTATCTATCTATCATCTATCTATCTATGTTAGTTGCATTTTACTTTTTATTTCACTTTTCATTTGTTACATCTCTAATTATTACAATTAGTCAATACTAGTTAAGTTACTTGTTAAATAATAATTAATAATTACTTTTCATAATTGCTACTTCATTCATATTATGCATATAATTGTCTTTTACGGTTAAAAGTCTTGCGGTTTGTTCCTGTTGTGGTGGTCTGCGATGAGCGCGAGAGCAGCGTTCACCGGCGCGCGTGCTCGAGCAGTGTACGTTCTTCTAGTCACGTAGCACTTGTCACTTTTTTTTTCACGCTGCAGCATCAGTTTAATTCAGTGTCAAATAAACGCCGAGCGCTGGCGGGGTCGCTGCACGACGCGGACATTATTTCTGTAGCTTTGTTTGATGTGGTATTTAATCTCTAGACTAAATATTTGCCTTTGAATGTCAGTATGAGTGTGGAAGAGTGTTTAGTGCTACAGGAAACATGCAGGAAAGTTAAAGGTGACTGATAAGCGACGAGGCTGAATCCAGCTTCTTATTCGCAGCTTCTTATTGACGCTATGCGGTCCACCTTAAAAACCGCGACGCTTCCGTTTTTCAGCTTCTTATTCGCGCTCATCTTAGGGACCGTGTTTATTTATGTTTCTTTTTGAAAAATGAAAAATGCTAAATGAAACTGATATAAGATAGAAAACGGGCTGCAAGCATGAAATCTAATTGCATCATTGATTAATTATTGACAGTGCCATCGTTTGAGTACAATATATTTTTGTTTTTTTCCAGAAAGTCCTTTATGAAGACTTCACATGACCCACCTATGAATAGACAGTGCCTGCCTCAGCAAGGATTTCAGATACAAAATAATTGGTCTATTAATTCAAGTTGTAAAAGTTAATGCATATGTTTTATCTGCAAATACTACAATTTGTATTAGATTTTAGTAGCTTTTTCTGACACCCACGCCTGTAAATACAATTCAAGTTTTGTTAAACCTGTTTCAAAGAACAGACTTTTTATACACCTTTTTATACATCTTATACAAATAAATGTGAATTGAACTGTTGCATAATTGAATACTGTACCATGTTCTCTCTAATATTACACAACAGGTTAATAGTATACGTCTATACACGCGTCTGCATATGTATAAATATGTATAATTCTTTCCCATTGAGAAGACAGACCAAAAAACGGTCAAAAGACAGTCATTTCAATAAATGCCCAGTTGGAGGTGCTATATGCCAAGTTTTTTGCATATTCATTTAATGTTTTATTTTTAACCTTTATGTATTTGTGTGCCTACACTGAAAAAAATCATTCAAAGATGATTCCTTGGATTTACTCAATTTTTTTTTACGTTAAGTTGTTGTAAACAGTTTATTTGCGCTGAATTTAAACAAACAAATTAAGTTGAACATTATTAAACTTAATTTGTTTGTTTAAATTCAACACAAATAAATTGTTTGCAACAGTTTTGCATGCAACACTTTTTTCAGTGTACTACATACTATATATGTGTGTACTATAAACTATATGTGTGTGTGTGTGTGTGTTCACATTAAAAATGTTTAACACTAAAGATAATAATAATAATATGTTTGTGTTATACATTTACACAAAATAAAGATGCTAATACATAATCATTTAATAATAATGATTTAATAATAATAATAATTATTATTATTAGTAGTAGTAGTTACTAATTTGTATAGTGAAATACAAATATTTTACAATACACTTATACATATTTTACTGATTACATATAAATGGCAATTAATCTATATACCTTATAAAAGTTTATAAATATGTGTGTAAAATCTCTCTCTCTCTCTCTCTCTCTCTCTCTCTATATATATATATATATATATATATTTACACACACACACACACAATACAATACAATGCATTTTCTTGTGTCTGTGTTTATATGTGTTCATTCATTTTTTTTCGGCTTATTCCCTTTATTAAACTTCTCCAGGACATGGTTTACGCAGCAGATGCCCTTCCAGCTGCAACCCATCTCTGGGAAACATCCATAGTCATACACTATGGACAATTTAGCCTTCCCAATTTAGCTGTACTGCATGTCTTTGGACTGTGGGGGAAAGCGGTGCACCCAGAGGAAACCCACGCGAACGTAGGGGAGGACATGCAAACTCCACATAGAAAGGCCACCTGACCAAGCCGAGGTTCGAACCAGCAATCTCTTGCTGTGAGGCGACAGTGCTACCCACTGCGCCACCGTGTATGTGTGTGTGTGTGTGTATATGTATATATATATATATATATATATATATATATATATATATATATATATATATATATATATATATATATATATATATATATATATATATATATATATATATATATAGAGAGAGAGAGAGAGAGAGAGAGAGAGAGAGAGAGAGAGAGAGAGAGGAAGAGAGAGAGAGAGAGAAAGTAACTATAAACCTATACAAATTGACATGAATTTAACAGTACTACTACTAATAATAATAATAATATAAATAATAATAATAATTAATTATTATTATTAATCTTATTTTTGGTATTTATTTTAAAAAATAGATATTTTACAAGACGCATATACATATTGTACTTGCCTATCACAGTAAGATAATACACAAATTAAACACCAGCATTTTCAGGCTAGGTACCTAGTTTTGACACAGCAGAACAGTTTTGTTCCAATGCACTCTTGGCACAATTGGTGGCGCTATATCTCAGCAGTCTTAGAGGGTGCGTTGAATGTCTCACTGGGGTCTTGTAGACAATGTTCCAATCCTTCAGCAAACCCAGATTCATACCAATTTACTCTACCAATTTGAGGTTATGGACCTCTGAACTTGCCAAAAATAGCAATACAGCTAAGTACCATTGCACTCTTGACACAATTGGTGGCGCTATACCTCAGCAGTCTTTGAGGGTGCGCTGAATATCTCACTGAGGTCTTGTAGACAATGTTCCAATCTATCAGCAAACCCAGATTCATACCACATTACTGTACCAATTTTAGGTTATTGACCTCTGAACTTGCAAAAAATCGCAATACAGCAAGGCAAAAACAGCTGTACCATTGCACTCTTTGCACAACTGGTGGCGCTATACCTCAGCAGTCTTTGAGGGTGCGTTGAATATCTCACTGAGGTCTTGTAGACAATGTTCCAATCTATCAGCAAACCCAGATTCATACCACATTACTGTACCAATTTTAGGTTCTTGACCTCTAAACTTGCCAAAAATCGCAATACAGCAAGGCAAAAACAGCGATGTACCATTTCACTCTTTGCACAATTGGTGGCGCTATATCTCAGCAGTCTTTAAGGGTGCGTTGAATGTCTCACTGAGGTCTTGTAGACAATGTTCCAATCTATCAGCAAACCTAGATTCATACCACATTACTGTAAAATTTTCTGGTTATTGATCTCTAAACTTGCCATAAATCGCAATACAACACGACAAAAACAGTTGTCCTATTGCACTCTTGGCACAATTGGTGGCGCTATATCATAGCAGTCTTTGAGGGTGCGTTGAATATCTCACTGGAATCTTGTAGACAATGTTCCAATCTATCAGCAAACCCAGATTCATATCACATTACTGTACCAATTTTAGGTTATTGACCTCTAAACTTGCAAAAAAATTGCAATACAGCAAGGCAAAAACAGCTGTACCATTGCACTCTTTGCACAATTGGTGGCGCTATATCTCAGCAGTCTTTGAGGGTGCGTTGAATATCTCACTGGGATCTTGTAGACAATGTTCCAATCTATCAGGAAACCCAGATTCATACCACATTACTGTACCAATTTTGGGTTCTTGACCTCTAAACTTGCCAAAAATCGCAATACAGCAAGGCAAAAACAGCTGTACCATTTCACTCTTTGCACAATTGGTGGCGCTATATCTCAGCATTCTTTGAGGGTGCGTTGAATATTTCACTGAGGTCTTGTAGACAATGTTCCAATCTATCAGCAAACCCAGATTTATACCAAATTACTGTACCAATTTTAGGTTATTGACTTCTGAACTTGCAAAAAATCGCAATACAGCGAAGTACCATTTCACTCTTTGCACAATTGGTGGCGCTATATCTCAGCAGTCTTTGAGGGTGCGTTGAATATCTCACTGAGGTCTTGTAGACAATGTTCCAATCTATCAGC